GCTGCTCCAGACTTAAACTGCTCTGCAATTATAAGCAAGGGGCAGAGATGCTTCCGCATTCAGCTCCTGTGGCACTCGTACAGCACTCCTCTGTCACACCAGACGCAGTTAGACACAGCCTACTACACCGGGTGGAGCTGGGACTCAAAAGAGTGCCCAACAGGAGGAACAAGTCCTATTCTTGGAGCAACCAAGAATAGCTGCACACCATAGGATGTAGGTGGCTGCAAAAGAAGCAATTTCATCCTTCTAACCCACCTTCCAGCCCTTTTCCTGCATACAGGCTTCTTTAAAAAGCATCTTGTACTCAGGACTTTGATTTAGTTTGGCTTCAAGCACTCCGGCTCTGATTTAGTTTGGCTTCAAACACTCTGGCTCTGATTTAGTTTGGCCTTGCTTTAAGACTACACCAACTCCAGATCACCTTCCCAGGCCAGTCCTCTGCACTTCTGACCCTGAATGAGCCTCTGGCTCTTTCCCAGCCCTTTTTCAATGCAGCAGCCACAACTCGGATGACTCTGCCCATCCCCGTTGTTGTTGTGTCGTGCTCTCGAACAGGAGGTGGTTGTGATTCACTCGCTGGGTTTGTTTGCTTTGTTTTTCCCTGTTCAATCTGCACAGAGGAAAAAATATTTGCCACCAACATTTTAGGAGAGCAGCATCCCCCACCCTGCGAAAAGCAGCCATCTGCAGGAAACAGCATTGCTGGGAAAGTGAGAAGCTTCCTCCTGGAAATGTCGACGCTCCGAGAGCTTCATGTGAAACTGTCCTAACAAAGATGCTTCACACCCGTGGGACCACGGGAGAAGACAGTGCAGCTGTCAGCGAGGAGTGAAGCTGGTGCTGGCATCGCAGTCCTGCAGCTTGCCACCATTCCCCATCAGTACGAGGCCGGACCCACCTCTCCCCAGCTCTCTCTGGATGCAGTGTTGATGCTCCAGTGGGCACGAAGCTCCCGCAGCACTCGGAGGCGCTGGCACAGCTTTCCCAGGGCAAGGTGAGCTTGGCAGAGCCAAGGAGCTATTGCAGGCAGCTTCCAGGAACTGCCGTGTCAACACCCCCGTCACCCAGGGCAGGCTGCAGGCAGGGGACCCAGCCCAGGAAACCCAAGGCCAAGTGCTTCTTTTCCCCTCATGGGAGCTGCGAGCTCCACACCAGCTCAGAACCTGTCCTCCCTTCCAGCTTCATCTGTCCGGGAGCAATAGGAGAAGAATTAAACTGACCCCATCCTACCCCAAGGTGTAAATGCAGCAGGCAATGAGAGAAGGGCTGTGAGTTTATCTCGCTCTTTGCACGAGTAAAGAGAGACAAACCAACCTCAAGCATGGTACTAGCTAAAAATTCCTTCTGTGCAGCACCAAAGGCCCCAGGCTACAGCGGCCTGACCCAGCCCTGAGGCTGCTCCCTGTCCTCCCTGTGCTCCTCTGCTCCCCTCATGCTCGGTGACTTTCCGGTCAGGAGACAGTCAGGCTGGGATGCCGCATCCCGCTCCATACAGAGGGGCTGTATCCTCCCAGCCCGGGGACACGGCTGTCTCCAGCTCTGCAGAGTAAACACCATCCCTGCTGACAAGCAAAAGCTCCGTGTGGGATGTGAATGCACCTTCTTCAAAGCAAAGCCCAGCTGGTCAGCGTTGAGTCAGGAGAATACACAGAGGCAGGGGGAGGATGGGAATAAAAGGGAAGAGAAGCAAGAACATGGTGTGCAAGGTTGAAGCACTCACTTCTGCACCAGGCTGCTAAGGCTGAACTCCCTCCCACTCTGCAGATCTCAACACAGGGAACTTGCCATCTCCAATCTGCCTTCATTAGGACACTGGGGAGGGGGGTATGGCCAGGAGAGACCCGGCCCCAGCTGCGTGCTGGGCCAGCTGCAGTGGGGAATGGGGACAAAGCCCTTGTCAGTAAAAACGACCTTGAGCACTTCAGCTGTGACCCGAGGTCCGAAGCTGCCCTCAGCCCTTTGCTCCCTGTGTCCTCCTCCTAAGAGGAAGAAATCCTGCACAGTCAGATGTGCTTTCAAGTAACTGATTACCCAGCCCCGAGGGCTGCCTACCCGGGCTGGGGGCTCCAGCCCTCCCTTCGGTGGCAAACGCTCCCAAGCACGTGTTGAAACTGGGCTGATCGTGGGGGACAGCACACCCCTTCCTCACCTCCTCATGGCCTGCGGTGTCAGGGAGGCAAAGGAAAGGCAGGAGAGCAGCCCCGGCCTCGGGGCTGGCTTTGTGCACACTCTATACATGCTACTTTATACCTAGAAAGGCACATCTGCAGAACGCCGTGCTCCAGTTGCCCACTGCCCTGGCCCCACACCACATCCAAGTGCCCAGAACTGTGATGTTACTTCAATCCAGAAGCTCCGTGCACCAAGTCAGGCTGACTGTGCTGCTTTGCCTTCAGACCTGAGCTGAGGTTGTGTCACCTAAACCCAGCTGCATTTTCTTCCCAGCTCGCCACGTCCCATCACCTATTTCTTGCTGTGAAACCGGACAATGAGGGACCACGGGGCAAAGCATCAGAGCGGTTCAGGGTGCTTGCAGCCAGCCCAGGGTGCTGGTGAGGAGAGCAAGGCTGAGGGATGGAAGGGCCGCTGCAGCTTTGCCCAGCACCAATGTCCCCCTCCCCAATAGCACTGCAGTGCAAGGGCAGGATCCCTCACACGCACTGTTCGCTCCTGGAGGAGCTTCTCACTTCACCCACAGGGCTGTAGCATCTCAAGGTGTCACTGCTGAGGCTGTGCCATACCTGGTGCTACTGATGGGCTGTGGCATGTAAGAAACTGAATGACACAAAGAGCTGCCAGCTCCTGCAGAGCCCAGGGCCAAGGCCAGCGCTGCACCACTGCAAAGGCAACAAGCACCCATGCAGACAGCCCGGATCGCTGCTCTTCCCCATCAGCTCAAAGCACCCAGGAGCAGGGCTGGAGCAGCAAAGCAAGCTCTGCACCCTTGTCACCCCAGGGCAAGAGATTAGCCTGCCTACTTGGATACACACAGCAGCAATGTGCTGACCTGCAGGTTTTGCTTTGAACTGTCTGCAGGATTAGAGAAGTTATAAGGCACTCTGGCACCCACAGCATCCCCTTTGCCCCTCAGCCATTGCTTCACCGTCCACGAGAGCCTCCTCTCTGCCCTACTCCTCTCCCACAGACCCTACTCCTGAAGGGTGGAGGTTACAGCAAGCAGAATGTGATCTGTTAAATAGGACACAGGACTGCCAGTAATGAGTGTGCCACACAGCTACGCCTGATACCTCCCTAATTGAAATCCCTCTTGGCCCGTGTCCCAGCTAAGCTCTTAAAAGACAGAAGCAGAGATGAGCACAAGCTGATCCCCTTGCAGTGAAGCGTCCTAACACTAATTGGCTTCAGTGTGTCTCAGTGACAGATTCTCCTTGTGTTCAGTGTCGGGAAAGCCACCCTCTGATTCTGGGAAAGGCGAGACTGACAGTGCCTAAAGGGGCTACAGGAAACCTGGAGAGGGGCTTCGGACAAGGGCCTGTGGGGACAGGCCAAGGGGAATGGCTTGAACCTGCCAGAGGGGAGACTGAGATGAGCTCTTAGGCAGAAGCTCTTCCCTGTGAGGGTGCTGAGGCGCTGGCACAGGGTGCCCAGAGAAGCTGTGGCTGCCCCATCCCTGGCAGTGTTCAAGGCCAGGTTGGACACAGGGGCTTGGAGCAAGCTGCTCTAGTGGAAGGTGTCCCTGCCCATGGCAGGGGGTGGGACTGGATGAGCTTTAAAGTCCTTTCAACCCAAACCAGGCTGGGATTCTATGCCCCTACTCCGCATGCATGGCAAGCACAGCCCATGGAGACAAGGTTCAAACCAACCACTCGAACCCTTTCTCACTCCTCAGCAGTTTCACTCCAGGACAGTCGTTTCCAACCACACCAGCACCCAGCAAATCAACTTCCGCCCTTCTTTCCTGTAAGCAGGGCAAGGGAAACAGTCTATGGAGAACCGCATGACCCCCATCCTCTGCCCAGTCTCAGGCTCTGTGCCTTTCCCCACCTCGCATCCCCTTTCCTGAGCCACTTCATTTACCAGCCGACAAAACAAGCGGCACAATACCAGGAGCAACCCTTCCCTGCTCTGCCTGTCCCCTTTGTGCGCAGAGGGGACACCCCTGAGCCAGGCACCCACCGCCCTCCACCCGCCCGCAGCGCTGGGCCTGCAGGGAAAGGGCATCCTCAAGAACAGCAGCGTAACAGATGGCCCAGAATAAACCATGGGAAATTGGGGTCCTCTGAAGTTGTCAGCGAATGGGGGAGACAGAGGAGCTGTTGTACTGCAGAGCAGCGTGAGAGCCGCAGCTCAGCTCCTCGCGGCTTAACAACCGCCAGCACCCCGGGGACAAGACGGGGGCTTTTGTTAAAGCTTCCCCAGAGGGGATGGATCCAAAAGCTTGGAAGAGACGCGATAAAAGCAGCCAGCGGTCGCCTGCTCTTTTCAACAGCCGAAGCCTGGGCTGTCCTCTAAGCTTGCTGCTTGAAAACAGGTCTTTGTTCAGCTCGTGCTCAGAGCAGAGCCGGTTCTAAGTCCTTGCGTGCCGTTTCACATGTATATATTTTGTCAGAGAATAGAGATCTCGGGCAAATATTTACTCGCTGAACTCAGTGCTAAGTACAACAGATGAATAGGAAATTAACTGCAGGCTGCAAGCACACTTCATTTCTCTCTGCAAGTTCGAGGGAATGGTTACTGTGGCTGCTTCAGGGCTTTCACAGCCTTCCCTAGACCCGGCTTGTGGGAAAACGCATCGGCAACGGAAAAAGACAAGGACTCGGAAGGAACAAGGCTCTAAAAATCCAGTTCAAAGCACTCAAGGGAGGCAGAAGCCCCTTCCGGAGAGCAGCGCCTGTGCTAACGGAGGCCAAAAGTCTCCCCGAAGGGACAAAGGGAAGGAACAGCCCAACTCCCCTCCACAGGCACAGGTAGAACCCCCCCCGGCGCAGGGAGCAGCTGCACCCAGCGCTGCCGCAGCCCCGCTCCGCGGCACTCACCTTGGGGAGCTGCGATGATCCTGGGGTTCACCTTGGAGCGCCCCGCTGCCCAGCCGCACAGCAGGCAGCCCCACAGGGCCAGCGCCAGCCCCACCGGCCGCCTCCTGCCCATGGCGAGCTGCGGAGCGAGCAGCGAGCCCCGGCTTTGCCGAGCCTGACAACTGCAGCGCTGCCTCTGCGAGACAACCAATAGATGGGAGCAGAGGGGCGGGACTCCTCCCGAGCGCCTCAGCACCTGGGTTTGTGCAGGGCTTTCATGGGGGTTTTGGTCCTTCCTTCTTATCCCACCCCCTTCTTCTGTAAGGGGAAGGTGGGAGTCTGATGGCTTTGCTCGCACTGGGGCTCTTCAGCAAAGGTGCAGCTGGCCCAAGGCTTGCAAACAACTTACCCCACGTATGCAAGAGGAATATTAAGGTTGATACGAGGCAAAGAAGAATGCAGATAACGTGCACTGAAGAAGTCAACAGCAGGCAAGGGTACAGAGACAGGTAACAAAGAACTACCGCTCCCAGTCATTAAACAGGAGAACGTGGAGGCCAGAAAGTCCTGCCCCGATATTAACAAGGCTGCAGGAACCACTTGCTAGAATAAGACCCCCCCCCTCTGCCACCAGGAGGATGCAGCAAGGCTGCAGCACATCTTGTGTGCCAGCTCTCTTCCTGTTCCTGCTACCAGAATAGCAAAGGGCCACTTCTAGCAAAGCCACATACTGCTCAAATCTATTCATCATTGGAAGTCAGGAACCCTACGAGACAAACAGCAGGGATGTGGTGATGACTGTGTCCTGCATCCGGGGTCACACCCCCCTCTGCCAGACCAGCCAAACTCATGCTTGGGAGTGTGGGAGTGAGCTGGGGTGAAGAAACCACCCCCTTTCCAAAGATCCTGCCTCTTCCCTTGTGATGCTGCTGTCCTCCCACAGGACAGGGTGCTGAGGCACCAGCCTTTGGAAAGTCACTTTGCTCTGCCAAACCTCCCCATCCTCCTGAGTGCCCATCAGGAGGCCGGGAAGAGCCCATGTGAAGCACTGTGAGGTTTGCTAATGAGAAGAGCAGGGAATTACGTGCAAGGAAAGCCAGGTTGGACGTGAGCAGAATAGGAGAACCCCATGGGGAACTGGGAAGGCTGAGAGAGACGCAGCTGCACTCTTTAAAGTTGGTATTGAAGCATTGAAGCTAGAGCCAGGACTGCTGTGCTCCTGCAGATGAACAGTGGCAGGGCAAGGGGGGGCAGTTTGGAGGAAGCAAGAAACTAATGAGGCAGCTAATGGTGAATTTTAAGGACCCACAGGAATTCCCCCAATCAACTTGAAACACAGGGTTTCATCTTTCCCTTTAAGCAAGCATCTGCTTGGGTAATGACAGGATGATAACACAGGGAACATTCTGCTTTCTCACTTTCAGCCATGGCAAGTCCCAGCCTTGAATCACTTTGTGTTCTTGCTCACCTCGAAACAACTGCCCCTTTCCCCCCATCAGAGGCGGCCCCATTGCTCCCAGAGGTGCTAAACCCTGTTATCACTCGTTTTCTTGCAGAAAAGCCTTCCAAAACCCCATCTCATTCATTCAGACTCTCCCACACTCAGGGGTGACAAAGAAACATCATTTGTACTTCAACAGCCTGAGCCACGCAGCCCATGCTGGCTCCGTTAGAAACACGGGACTTAGCATTCTGCACCACCCCAAATTTGGGCTCCACTATGAGAGCTGCATACGTTATGATCTGCTTTGCCTTTTATGACACGACGCAGCTGGTGGGCTGGGAAATGGGCTTTCAACTCCCACTCTTGACTGAGTTGCCAACTGGAAACACAGAAGGGTTCTGATCAGAGCTGAACGAGGAGTTTCTGCCTCATTAGAACAGTAAACCCTTTGCTTTTCCCTCTTCCTCTGCCCCCATCGAAACCAGCTGGGCACTCCGCACGGTTTGCTTTTAGGGGTGCTTTTCTTCCTACCTACAGATAAACACAGCGCTCCTGTGTGTAAAATTCAGCTTCAAACTACCCCAAGACTTTGGAAGCATTCAGCTCTGGGCTCTTTCGACTTCAACACGAGACCACTCCATCTCCTAGACCAGGAGCTGAGCCACGCCATGAATATAACTGTATCATGGTCCTGGATTCAGAACGATGCTGTAGCATCATCTCCTGAGACTCAGGAGGCAGCCTGGTGCCTAAAAAGAAAGACAAAGCTCCACGAGAGCACTGCCTGCAGCTCAACAGAGGAGCCTGCAGCAGGGGAGGGAAAAGTGAGCGGTGGAACACGAAAATACACAGGAACATCCCACCCAAAGCAGCGGTTACAGCTCTTCAAATGAACGGGGTGCACCAAAGCTGAGCTTTCACCCACTGCTGCCCCCAGAAGCTACAGCTCCCCTTAGCATCCTTTCTCCTCCCCACAAGCTCCTTCAGGGCAGCAGCAGCCTGCGCCTGACTGCGGCTGCAGAAACATCAGGACAGCATTGGGAAAGCAACTCCAGCAGCTGGGCAACATCTGCAGGGCCAAGTGGCAGAGTGGGAGAAGAGCCCACCATGAGTCCTTCCCAAGGGCAGGGCTGTCCCGCAGCACACACAGCACAGTGCAGTGCTCACATGGTGCTCCCAAGCCCACCCTGTGCGCTGGGGAAGAGCCTAGAGCTGATGTCAGGGTTGCTCCAACCCTGTCCCAGTTTGCAGGAGGTGCTGAGCACAGAACAGGGCCCTGAATACACCCCGAAACCTGCTGTGCATTGACTACACACCCACCCAAAGCAGGCAAGTGCTCTTGTGAGAGAGTCTGTTTGCTCAGCCACATCCCGTGTCCTCCGCTAGCCAACAAGGAGTGTTGACACAAGCGATGTGATTCCGGGCACAGCCCCTCCTGCAGAGGTTTCCATCTGCTCCCCTCAAGTATCAGAACTTCCACAGTGCAACTTATGTGCAGCTTTTTCCAGATCATGCTGCTCGGTTCCAACACGGATCAGGAGCAGCTTCCCCTGAGGAACCTGTAAAAAGCATCAAGCACAGATTTTCCTCGGGAGGAACAGTTCTATTCATCACTGCAGACAGGCTGCTGGATGTCTGTGGCCCAGGCAGTGTAACTGTGATGAAACCTCCCTTTTTACTTGACATCTTCTCATTAGAGAGGAGCTGAACACCTTGTCAATGACAGGAGCAGCGGGACTGAGCACCCTCAGCAAGCGTGCTGATGACACCGAGCTGTGTGGTGCAGTGACACGCTGGAAGGGATGGGATCCAGAGGGACCTGGACAGATGGGACCATGTGAACCTCATGGAGTTCAACAAGGCCAAGGGCAAGGTCCTGACCCTGGGGCAGGGCAATCCCAGCACAAACAGAGCCTGGGAGAGTCTGGAGGGAGCAGCCATGAGGAGAATGACTTGGGGGTGTTGGGTGAGGAGCAGCTCCCCGTGACCTGGCTTCAGTGTGCTCTTGAGCCCAGAACCCTCCTGTGTGCTGGGCTGCACCCCCAGAGTGTGAGCAGCAGCTCAGGGAGGGGATCCTGCCCCTCGGCTGTGCTCTGGGGAGACCCCCCTGCAGCCCTGATCCAGCTCTGGGGCAGCAGCACAAGAGGGACGTGGAGCTGCTGGAGCGAGGCCAGAGGAGGCCATGGAGATGCTGCGAGGGCTGGAGCAGCTCTGCTCTGGAGCCAGGCTGAGAGAGCTGGGCTGGGGCAGCCTGGACAAGAGAAGGCTCCTGAAGGGGAGACCTCAGAGCAGCTCCAGTGCCTGAAGGGGCTGCAGGAAACCTGGAGAGGGGCTTGGGACAAGGGATGGAGGGACAGGCCAAGGGGAATGGCTTGAACCTGCCAGAGGGGAGACTGAGATGAGCTCTTAGGCAGAAGCTCTTCCCTGTGAGGGTGCTGAGGCGCTGGCACAGGGTGCCCAGAGAAGCTGTGGCTGCCCCATCCCTGGCAGTGTTCAAGGCCAGGTTGGACACAGGGGCTTGGAGCAAGCTGCTCTAGGGGAAGGTGTCCCTGACCGTGGCAGGGGTTGGAGCCAGAGGAGCTTTAAGCTCTCTTCCAACACAAACCTTTCCAAGATTATTCACAAGAACACAGCAATTACCTTGTGCTAACCCCAGGCCAGGAATGTGACCCTGGCAAACAAGCGGTAGATGTGACGGGTTTGAACACACACCAATCTTCCATGGAAAGAAAAACATCAACACCACAAGCATTCCAATCCCTGCAATAGCCAGGCAATATCTTTCCTCTGTTGTGTCTTCTCCAGAACCAGACATGCACATCTCAATCTTCGGCTGTTATCAGCAATGGCAGCTTCAGGTGATGCAAGGAGACCTTTGTGAACACGGCACAAGGGGCTGAGGATGCTCACCAGGCCCGTCGTGCCACATGTGTGCGTGTGCTTCCATAGTCCCTCCTGAGATAAGACTGTGAGACTGTACGTTGTGACACAGAGCATGAGAAATCCTCTGGGACACTGCTGCAGGATGGGCTGATGTCCCATGAGGCTGGGACATGAGTACAGGGCTTTGGAAGATCAGAGCTTCTGTTTCTTACCCCTTGCATTATGCCTTTGGGAACAAGTTGATTTACTAGCATGGAATTGAGAGGAAAAGAGCAAAATTCCACTCCCTATTTCTTTTGGCACTGACCAACAGGTCTTCCAGGTGACAAAGTGAGGTGGGAAGGAAGCAAAGCAGATTATCTGCAAGCTGCTGCATTCTGCTTTCAACACCCAAGTCCTCCTCCCTAGCTCACACCCCTTGCAGGACAGCACAGCAAACCTATTGCCCCAAGAAGCATCATTAAATGTGTCAGAAGCCCCCATGTGCTAAATGCCATCCCCAGGGCTCCAAAAGTGAGGCAGAGAAGAGGTGAAGGAATCATGTGCCCCAGGACATCTTTTTCTAGGTGACATGGTCCAGTGTGAGGCCTCCCTGCCCATGGCTGAGGGTTGGAACTGGATGATCTTTAAGGTCCTTTCCAGCCCAAACCATTCTGTGATTCCATGCCCAAGGCAACCAGAGCCATCTCGCACTCCCCTTGGAGAGCAGCACAAAACCCCTCACTGGGACTCCCTTTCTCCAGTGCTTTCCCCTCTGCTGCTGAGGGGACCCTCAGGGTCACCCCACCAGCACCTCCCAGCCCAGAGCTTCACAACACCCATCGCAGGAGCTCG